ACCAGAATAAAAATGAATAGGCATTTATATAATACAATTATACCTACTTATCCTAGCTTAACAACGCCGTCAAAAATGCCGACAATATTTAGGCCATTTTGAAATTACACAGACCTTTGTCATTTTGTTGTTTATAGTAAATTTTTTCTGAATTGTAGAATTAAAATTCATATTAAACATAACAAGTGAATCTCTTCCCTATCACCATGGTATAAATAAAAACAATATTAAGAAATTATATATATATATATATATATATATATAATAATATTTTTTAATATTATTTTTATTTATCACATAAATTTAAATAAATTTCAGCACTTTTATATACAGAAGAAAAAAATATATATATATATATATATATATATATATATATATATATATATATATATATATATATGATTACATGAATCATTCATACAAAAACAAATATAGAGGTTAATGATTTAAATGGCGAGAATACATCTTCGCAAACAATTTCAATAAGTTACACTAACCCTCTATATTTGTTTTTGTATGAATGATTCATGTAATTATAAATTGAATTACAATTTATAATCGAAATATATAATATATATATATATATATATATATATATATATATATATATATATATATATATAGTTTTAAGGTATGCTATATGGGATAAAGTGCTCAATATCAGAGATAGAGCGTATGTAAATATAAAATTGTCGCCTCTGAGCGTTGATTTCAATTTTCATTTATGTACTTATATATATATATATATATATATATATATATATATATATATATATATATATATGTCTGTGTGTGTGTGTGTGTGTGTGTGTGTGTGTGTGTGTGTGTGTGTGAATGAAATTTGCGTCAAGGGTTTGGCTACACTTCAGCTTTCTTGGTAGATCTGCTATTATCATGATATGGGATACCTAATAACAAATGTGATAAAAGTATAAACAAAAAGAAAAAGAAATTAAATAAAATCGCCTAGACCCGGCTGTCACTACAAAGCTTGTCATGTTAACACTGATTTTAGCTGAACACACTGCTGAAAGTCGCGTTCCAGTCAATCTGAACTTGCAAGCCACTTGGAAATCCATAACCAACGACTACAGGATGCGCAACCCCTCAATGATGAATGGTGTAGATCCGGTGTCTGTGCAATAAATCTTGTGCAAATCGTTTGCCTGCTTCAAAGTCTCATGACTGTAAATGCTTGTTAGTTATGATAATACTACTTTTAATAAGCCAGGAACCATCTTAGATTCATGTTATTCTTAATTCTACGCACAGCCATTGTTTGGCCTTTGAACTTATTGCTTGTTTTTCATTTTACTCATAGATAGTCTCATTTTTTGACAAACTGTATCGTTTTGTTACTTACATAGTCTTGGCTAAATCAGTTTCACATACCTAATCATATTTAATCTGAAGGCTAAAAGACATACTACAGTCACTTTCTCACAGACGTGCTGTGGCTTCCCTCTGTCTCTTCTATAACTATTTTCACGTATCTCTCTGGTTTACTGACTGCATGAATTGAAGCGTCATACTAGGTTGGATAGTGGTCTCACTCTTTCACTGACGAAACGGTTAAATGTAACCCTCTCTTTCTACTTAAACATCTTCTTCTCTCGCACTTCCCGGCAGTGGAATTCTCTCCCTCTTGCTTGCGTCCCTGATAACTATAATCTTCAAATAATCAAGTATAATGTCAATCGACATCTTCTGATAACTTGATCTTGTTCCCCGTCCTTCTCTGTATCCTCTCCCCAAACATGCATCTTTATTCTTGTTCTTTACCCCCAGTAACCCCTTGCTCGCTAGTGGCACTCCCGCCTTGCTTGGAGTGAAATGCTTTAAAAAATCATCTGTATTTCTATATCTATCTATACGTATACATGAATATCTATGTACGTACACCCCTTCTCCACCTTTTTATTAGCATTAGACGCTTCTGTGGAGAAAAGGGTGATAGACTTACCACCTTGAGTGTTGCTACTGTTGTTTCCGTAATATTTATAGGGATCGATTTACCAGGCCCTTGTCGAAAGAGTTTTGAATTCAGAATTGTCCGTCTCCGAGAGTGAATACCGACCAAATTGCTATTTAACCCATATTTGGGAGAAGAAGAGACGGATTCATACCTTTCTCAACGTTAATTTCGCAAAAACGAACGCAAAGGACTCGATAGGAATTTGAACACAACACACCGAATCTTCTTTCTGTGACGATAACCACCACGCTCCACACACGCAACCTCTGTATGTACAGGTCGCGATGGGTAAATTGTTGCCATTTTATATATATATATTTTTTTTAATTTCGCGCATACGCGTTGTTTGTTTTTGAATTTGTCGATTGCAAAATGTAGTAGGGTCAGTTGGGAACCATCTGTGAGAAAAACACACACTATGACGCAATTCACTCTGGCAAAAATTTGAAAACGGCATTCTGTACTGCTTGGATGAGTCTAATGGTGACTACGAAGGTGAGGCAGCTCGGAAAACTTACTCTTAAAAGAAATCCCGAATTTGTTGGTGAGGGCCGAAAGCCTACATGAATTGACTTGAGGAAGTAGTACTGCCTTGTGCCAAGATGGTGGCTGCTGGAAGACCCTATGTCTAACAACCTGACTCTGCACCATGCCACACAAGAAGGGGAACCCAGTCATGGCTGTCAGACAATTTCTGCGAACACATCACACTTAAATCTGGTCACCGAACTTCCCAGACTCCCTTTGGTTGTTATGTGTGTGTGTGTGGGGGGGGCAGTTGAGCGAGAGGCAAACAAAACTCCTTGCAACACCAAAGCTGAACTAGAGACAAGGATTATCGTAGCATTCACCAAATTAATCAAGAAGATCACCCAAAAGAGTTGCAGAAGATTCCGAAATCGTCTGGAAGCTGTGATTGAAGCCAATGGCGATTTTAAATAAATAAATTTACGATTTAGTATTTCAAGATATTTATATTTATATAAATACTTATCTCAAGATATTTATATAAATATCTATGTGTGTAATTTTGGTAAATATATCTGTTAAAATGAGATCTCAATGTAATTTTTGCATCATTTCGACGACAATTTAACCATCGCACCCTGTATATGTGTGGGTGTATGTGTGCGCCATGTTTATGCTTCAAAGAGGACGTTTAATACAGACATTCGGGTCAGATAAAGGTGAATCTTTTTTTTTTCTTAAAAAAAACACGAAATGTATAAAACGCAGAAAATAATGGACGTGGTGTGTTTTGTCTAAAACTTGTTAGGTTGAGTTCAAGTCAATACACATTCATCGGTATTTATGACTCGTCCCCTCTTTTATATATTCAAGACAAATCACCCGAATAATGGAAATGACTTGTCAGATTTGCATCAGAATTGGCCAGAGTTGCGTATGGAATTGGTCTGGGTCGGGTGCATGTGTACACTGCCAAATGCAACAATTGCAACAAAACTAATCTTGGTTCAGAAGAAAATTCGCACGGACAGTCGAATTTTGGGTAGAGGGAGAAAGATTAATCGAGCGAGAATGATAGATTAATAATGTCTTCTGCTTTAGCATTGAATTAAGGCATTGTTCAATGGTTTTCACTATTTATTCCTGCAAGTGCTTTAATGAACAGAAGGCCGAGTTTGGTTGCGTCGCTGGAGTTTATGACATATTCAAGATGGTTATTTAATGCCGTAATATGTTTTTTATTTAAATTACGCTTGAGCTCATAATTGGTTGAATTTATACTTGAGACAATGGGTAAACATTTGTCGAATTTAAACATGAGGCGATAGGTAAACATAGGTCGGTTTTGTACTTGAATATTTTGGCAAATAAAGATCAAGTGTATTTTTGAATCTATGAATAAACAGTGGCCACGTTTATATTTCAACTGAAAGATAAATATTACTGGGATCTATCTTCAATCTTTACGTACATATTGGTAAGGTATATACTTGAGTGTATAGTTAAATATTGCTCGTTTTATACGTGTATCTATAGGTGAGCATTGATTGCCTTTATACTTGAGTCTATAGGTAAATATTGTGCGGTTTTGTACTTGAATTTGCATGTGAACATAAGTTGATTTTATGCTTGAGTCAATAGTTAAACACTGGTCTCGTTAATACTTTAGCCTATAGGTAAATATCTTTCGGTCTTACACTCGTATCTATAGGTAGATATTGGCTGTGTTTATAGATGAATAAATTTGACGCATCTATTCTTGAGGCTATATGTAAATATTGGTCGATTTTGATCTTAAATATTTTGACAAAAAAAAAAAAACGGCTGAATAAACATTGACCGCGTTCATAGGTGAGCTTGTATGTAAATATTAGACGGTTTTATATTTGAACTCTAAATATTAATCACAACTGTACTTGATTCTATGAATATACATTTTTTGCGTTCATACTTGAATCTATTAGTAAACGTTGGTTGAAATTAGACTTGAGTCTATAGGTAAGTAAAGTAAATACGTTATTGTATAGGTAAATATTGTCCAGGCTTATACTGAAGTCTACAAGCATCCACCCAGAATGTGGTACTCTCTGGGGTGGATGCAGTTTTCGTAATCTAAGCTTGACCAACAGGCCACTAAAATTTTCCGTAATCTAATTTCCGTAAAAATTCCCGTAATCTAAGCTTGACCAACAGACAACTAAAAATAAGGGTGTCCTATTAAATAAAAATCGATAGTGACGTTAAAAAAAGTAAAATTAAGAAGATCATGTATTATCATCGATTGATCGATAAATTTGTCTTTTATGGTTGATTAACCTTTTTCAGATTATTTAAAGCCAGAAAACATTTTTAATTTGCAAGAATTTGTTGGAGATATTAATGATATTTACTTAGCCAAGTTCTACTAATTAACCCATAGCTGGGGAGAGAATTGTTGGATTCATACCTTAACCAACGTCTAAGTGAATATAACTAACACAATAGAAATTGGAACTCGGCTCTACGATATCCAATTCCGAGCCGTTATTCATTACACCACCCGTACATCCAAGCTTATACCACCAGGTATTCTCATGTGGTCAGCCATCTACGTACTGAACAAGCTCGACGTTGCTTAACTACAGTGATCGTGCGAGAACCGGTGTTTTAACGCGATATGGCCGTAAACCACATATTATTATTAAATAATATTAAATATACCGGTTAATCATGAGATAATCAACAGCATTTGAATATTTGGTGTTCTGTAATGTACACAGTGAAATATTAGTACGTATTATGCAGTCTTCTTTCTTTCTTAACCGGCAAACCCTGCTGGATATAGGCGATCATATTGGTTGGCTGGCTGGTTGGTTAGTTTTTGCTTTGCGGCATATCAATCTCTATGGGTTATTTAATATCTAAATCTAAATATTTTGTACGCAATTTTATTATTTATCTTGGAGATATTAATGGTTTTTGCGATACAAGTCCCAAGATATTTGCGCATAAGTCAATATAAAAACCCAACTGGAATTGGAACTTGGCTCTCTGATTAACAATTCTGAGACATTATCCATTACACCACCCGCACATTCAACTTTAAAGCATCTGATATTCCCAAGCTGTTACCCATCTAGTTACTGATTAGGCTCGAAGTTGCTTAACTTCGGTGATCGTATGGGAACTAGTGTCTCAACGTGATGTGGCCGTAAGCCTAAGCGATCATAGTTCTCTACAAATTCCTGCATTTTGTTTGCCTAAGTAGAAAAATTTAAATATCTATGAAGTATTCTTGACAAAGGACGGTAACTGTAATAACGAAACTATAAAGCGCATTGAGATAGCGAAAGATGCCTTCCGAAAGTTGAGCAAAGTATTAAGAAACAGGAATAGTTCGTTAGACTCAAATAAAAGAATACGGAACTGTTACGTAATATCCGTCCTCCTGAATCGCAGTGAATGCAGAACAATATCCTCACAGATAATAAAGAAACTTGAAGCAAAAGAAATGCAGTCCTACAGAAGGGTACTGAGAATATCATTGGTCGAACATGTGAGCAACGGCCAAATTCTAGAGAAAACGGAAACAAAACGGACAAATACTTAATATCAGAAAGAGACAGATGAAATATCGAGGACACATAATAAGGAAAGAGGGCTTAGAAAATTAACACTCATATGACATATTTAAGGCAAGAGGGACAGATGGGAAATCAGCGCATAACCTAGCTAACGAGGGCGTCTTGATGGTTGTCAGAAGGGGGATTAAGAGTGATAGATAGAATACAATCTTTACCGAGGGCTACAAAGAACTGGATATTTTGGAGAGTCATGATTCCCCAAATCCTGAAGGATCACGGCATATAGAAGAAAAAGAAGAATCTTGTAAATGGTTATCAGAAAAGGGATTGGGAGATAAAAAAAGGGGCAAAACAAAAATTAGTAAAAGCCACAAAGGACAGTAAATTGTGGAAAACCAAGATCGACAACATCCTAAAGGAGCACAGCACATAGAAGAAGAAGAAGAAGAAGAAAAAGAAGAAAAAGAAGAAGAAGAAAAAGAAGAAGAAGAAGAAGAAAAAGAAGAAGAAGAAGAAAAAGAAGAAGAAGAAAAATAAGAAGAAGAAAAAGAAGAAGAAGAAGAAGAAGAAGAAAAATAAGAAGAAAAAAAAGAAGAAGAAGAAGAAGAAGAAAAAGAATAAGAAGAAGAAGAAGAAGAAAAATAAGAAGAAGAAAAAGAAGAAGAAAAAGAATAAGAAGAAGAAGAAGAAGAAAAAGAATAAGAAGAAGAAGAAGAAGAAAAATAAGAAGAAGAAAAAGAAGAAGAAAAAGAAGAAGAAGAAGAAGAAAAAGAATAAGAAGAAGAAGAAAAATAAGAAGAATAAAAAGAAGAAGAAGAAAAAGAATAATAATAATAATAATAAGAATAATAATAAGAAGAAGCAGAAAAATAATAATAATAAGAATAAGAAGAAGAAGAAGAAGAAGAAGAAGTAAAGGAAGAAGAAAAAATAATAATAATAATAAGAAGAAGAAGAAGAAACTCGTGCAAATGGTTGGCAGAACAAAGATGAGAAGAAAATAAGGCAAAAAGACAAAATTTACAAAGAGATACAAAGGACAGGAAATTATGGAGAGCCATGATCGCCCACGTCCTGAACAGACACGGCGTATAGAAGAAGAAAAAGTAACTTTTGATTCTTAGCCATCCTTCTCTGTCCTTGTTCTACCATCCATTCACACAAACTGGTTAAGTAGGTTACTTCTTTTGTTTTATAGAGCTGAGTACGTCGATAAACTACATCCCCTAATCGGGAGATTGGTGGTTTTAGCTGCTTTTGTCCCCAGGTCCACCCTGACTCGGGGCGGTAGAACCTGTTAGCGTCTCATCTATGGGTAAATCTTGCTGAAAAAACACATTCTGTCTTCTTAAGATTAATACTCCTTTCTTTTCTACTTCCTTTGAAAATTGGGTTCTTGCAGGTTTCGTTCTGAGCCTGCCGTTCCACAGCATCATTATGTTGTTAACATTATATCCGCCATTAAAAATCCTGCTTGATATTCGATTGGTATCGTCTCGCCGTACACTTTAAATATACACGGTGCTTAAATACATCCTTATTCTTTTTTCTATTTTGTGTCGTCATTGGACTTATTCTTAGGCTATTTAGTGTGTTTAGGGTCAGCAAAACATTTCAGTATTTTGAATGGAACGGGACATCGTAAATAGGCATCGATGAGAGAGCAGATGATTAGATAACAAAAGAGCTGTTTCAAATGTCAAGAGATCCATAATGGAATAAGTACAGTGTAACCCGGATATAAGATACCCGGATATAAGAGAAACCCGGATATAAGAGAGATTTTCTCTGGTCCCAAATTAGAGCCTGTGTTAATGTATATAAAAATAGACCAAACCCGGATATAAGAGAAACCCGGATATAAGAGAGATTTTCTCTGGTCCCAAATTAGAGCCTGTGTTAATGTATATAAAAATAGACCAAACCCGGATATAAGAGAAACCCGGATATAAGAGATTTTTTTCCCAAATTCTGGTCCCAAATTAAGAGAAACCCGGATATAAAGAGAGATTTTCTCTGGTCCCAAATTGTATATAAAATAGACCAAACCCGGATATAAGAGAAACCCGGATATAAGAGGATGTTAAGAGAAACCCCGGATATAAGATAAGAGAGATTTTCTCTGGTCCCAAATTAGAGCCTGTGTTAATGTATATAAAATAGACCAAACCCGGATATAAGAGAAACCCGGATATAAGAGAGATTTTCTCTGGTCCCAAATTAGAGCCTGTGTTAATGTATATAAAAATAGACCAAACCCGGATATAAGAGAAACCCGGATATAAGAGAGATTTTCTCTGGTCCCAAATTAAACCCGATATAAAATAGACCAAAGATTTTCTCTGGTCCCAAATTAGAGCCTGTGTTAATGTATATAAAATAGACCAAACCCGGATATAAGAGAAAAATAGATTTTCTCTGGTCCCAAAAACCCGGATAAAAACCAAACCCGGATATAAGAGAAACCCGGATATAAGAGAGATTTTCTGGTCCCAAATTAGAGCCTGTGTTAATGTATATAAAATAGACCAAACCCGGATATAAGAGAAACCCGGATATAAGAGATTTTCTCTGGTCCCAAATTAGAGCCTGATATATAAAATAGACCAAACCCGGATATAAGAGAAAGCCGATATAGAGAGATTTTCTCTGGTCCCAAATTAGAGCCTGTGTTAATGTATATAAAATAGACCAAACCCGGATATAAGAGAAACCCGGATATAAGAGAGATTTTCTCTGGTCCCAAATTAGAGTTAATGTATATAAATAACCAAACCCGGATATAAGAGAAACCCGGATATAAGAGAGATTTTCTCTGGTCCCAAATAGAATGTATATAAAATAGACCAAACCCGGATATAAGAGAAACCCGGATATAAGAGAGATTTTCTCTGGTCCCAAATTAGAGCCTGTGTTAATGTATATAAAATAGACCAAACCCGGATATAAGAGAAACCCGGATATAGAGAGATTTTCTCTGGTCCCAAATTAGAGCCTGTGTTAATGTATATAAAATAGACCAAACCCGGATATAGAGAAACCCGGATATAAGAGAGATTTTCTCTGGTCCCAAATTAGAGCCTGTGTTAATGTATATAAAATAGACCAAACCCGGATATAAGAGAAACCCGGATATAAGAGAGATTTTCTCTGGTCCCAAATTAGAGCCTGTGTTAATGTATATAAAATAGACCAAACCCGGATATAAGAGACTTCTTCTCCGGTCCCGACAACTCTCTTACATCCGGGTTACACTGCATTTACAGCTTCCGAGTTTAAGTTAACAAAGGCAATTATACGATCCAGCTAACTAGAACAGATGACTTTAGCTACCTAAGATATATATGAAAGGGATTAAACCCGACAAATATTTTTTTTAAAATTCATAGAAAACATGAGTCTTACGACAGGAATCGAACCTGTATCCTATACGGAACCGTCATATAGCCTGACGTGCTATGACCGTTCAACCACGGAGAAATTCCGGTTTAGCGAAGCTCGAATAACTGGTTTTAAATTTCTTGAACATTTAGGCTTGTAAATGTAATTAATACTGTTTAATTAAAAAACAGATCATTTACTCAAATAATTGTATCCGTAAAAAGTGTATCCATAAGTGTATCCTTTACTCAAATAAGCGTATCCATTTAAACAGAAAATATATTAAACTATTTGTCAGATTTAATCCATTTCATATAATTTGTTGTCATTGTTTACGTTAGGTTGCAATTTCAGAGCAGATATGACAGATCGAGAAAAAATCGGCGAAGGTGTGTGTTTATAAGCAGTAATTATAGCTTTGCTTAACCGAAAGTCCTCTGTGGCTAAACGATCGTCGTACTGTTCCGTATAGGATACAGGTTTGATTCCTTTTGAGGACACTAAGATTTAAAGATCGAAGTAAAACAAAAAAATGTTGCCAAAAATAACGAAACTGCACCAATATATAACAACAATAAGCGTTTCTAAAATATATATGCTTAACGTAAGAATGACACACACGTTTCGATAAACGACAATAATAGAAGATGATGGATAAAATTATATAGAGTAATAGGAAATACGAGAATATTATTGCTATAAAGATCAATACGAAAAGAAGATAATGACAAAAGAAAGAAATCGATATTTTCTATACTCCAAATTCAGTCATGATTTATCGTTCTCATTTCGGACTCAGATATCTCAAGTTTGGGCGGTTGAACATTGTCGCGAACATTTTAGTCTTGCCCTCTCCCCAACTCTACCTTCCTGTCTCTTTCTCGCTCTTTTTTTTTCGGACGAAATCGTATCTTGGGAGATGAATTTGAAAAGTACAAGAGAGTTGAAAAAAAAAATGGTTATGATGAAGCGATCAGAAATATATAGTTATAAATAATTTCCCTTTACGTTTATCGAGTTTATTCTTTAAAAAATAAAGTACAATTTTATTTTATTCAGTTCTATATTCGCCATTGTTTGCAATGACTTGTCGCCACATATCAGGCAGCTCTCCGATAATCTTTTGAATGAGGTTCCGCATGTTTCGATGAGAAATCGTTTTCGACGAACGCTTCAATATGGTTTTCTTTAGAGAAAGTTTTCTCCTATCAAAGCGTTTTGCAGTGATCGCAACAGGGAATCGGTTGGTG